TGCTCTTCAGCCAAGAACAACTCAGCGGAGAGCTGGTCTTCCTCAGAAAAGCTTCTACTTGTCATTCCCAGTGTCTCAGCGAGAATTTCCTCTTAACATTGCAAACTTACGGGGCCGGGGTTTTGGCTCAATGGCTGGGGTTTTGGCTCAATGGCAGTGTGCCTACCTCTCAAGGTCCTGAGTTCGATCCCTGGTACCTGAAAACACATAAACACACACACACACACACACACACACACACACACACACACACACCCCAAACATTGAAAACTTATCTTAATTCTGTAGCCTCAAGAAAACAGCATCAGTCTGTTTCTCAGTCCAGGCCAGGTTGCTTTGCTTTGATTCTGTCAAAACCCTGCTTCATGTAAGTGAAGCTAAATTAAGTTAAACTCTACTAACCTCTAGCTAAACCCTCTAGCTCTTTCTCTTGATTTGTTTGGCAAAGGTCTGAATTTGTATTCTCATTTCTCCTTTGCCCAAGCAAAGATTAAATTAAACTTTTATATGTTAAGGTTGAACAATTGAGATTTATTTACTATTTGGAATATATGAACTAAAAATGAATATTATGAGGTTAAACTGACCTTTTGATTAAAATAAAATTAAAGTTATTGAATTTTGTGTAGAGAAAACCTTTGTGAATGACAAAAGTCAGCTATATAAAAACCATTGATTCATTTGCAGAGGTCAAATTTAATTTGATCATTTGACAAACTGCAAAATCAGGGATAAGTGGCAACAGTTTTTGTAGCATATGTAGAGATAGAAATTGTATTAAAATGCATCAGAAGCACTGGGGGTGCCATCAGTGGTGGAGCTCTGTCTGCTGTGCAGGGCCCTGGGTCTGTCCTCAGCACCTGCCTGCTCAAGCAAAACAAGAAAAGTGCACGACGTCTACAGAACAATTTCCAAAAGAATTCAATTAGGAAATAAGTAGAATAGTTTTTCAAAAATTTAACGAACAATTTGGAGGAAGGTGGACTTTGGATCTGCCACATGGAAGTATGTACCTGGGTGTGGGATGGGTAGTCCTTCAGTCTAAGATGAGCTTCAAGTAACATTGATTTTGATCTAAAATATTTTAGACAAAAGAACTTAGTGTACTTTGTCTGAAACTCTCCCATCAGCCAGTGGGGTTTATTTTGGAGTCAATCTGATAAATTATAGCATCATTTCAAGTAAAAAGGAAGAGAGAGAGAGAGGGAGAGAGAGAGAGAGATAAGGAGAAGAGAAGAGAAAAAGAGAAGGAGAAAGTGAAGGAGATGCATGAATCAAATAGTGAGTAAATGAATAAATGATCACACTTGTTCCAGAAAGTTGCATTTGTGCTTTAGCCTTGTTGTGGTCAGAATGGTCATAAAAATTCATCTGTGGAAATTCTAATCCCCAATCAAGCATGGTTCTGTGTGTGTGTGTGTGTGTGTGTGTGTGTGTGTGTGTAAAGAGAGTGTTAATATGAGCAGATTGGGTAAAGGATATATACGGATCCTTTGTCTTATTCTAGCTACATTTGTGTAAAAATAAAATTTTTATTTTAAAAGTAAAGCTTAAAAAAAAAAGAGTGAGAAGTGTTCTGATTGCCAATGTCCCCATGCTCTGGCCAACTTCCCCATTTTGCTGATGGCAGATCCAGGACTCACCACAGACTGTTGCTCAGAACTCCGTGCTTCTTTCTCACATATGCCTGGTCAACCACTTTGCTGCCAGCTTTTCTCTGCATTCATAGGCACATTGATTTCTTTTGTTTTTATTACAATAATGATTTGGTCCACTGAATGAGTTCTGCTTTCCCTAGAGTGAAGAGCAACTCTGGATTGCTACAAGGTAGCTTACAAAGACTACTGCAGAGTTGAGTGTGTGAGAGAGAAAAGGGTCCCCATCCACTGGAGAGCTGGAGGATTAGTCAAATTTGAAGGTCTGGACCTCACTGCAGAGTTTCATGTGAGCCTCTAGAGGGAAGCTGAAGGGTCTGGATTGGAAGGCTGAAGAGTCTGAGCTGGAAGCCTGGAGACAGACATCCAAAGGTGATGGCTAAGATCAGAGCTCCCCTGAAGGACCAAATGAGAGACTTCCTTCTTCTTTCCCTTGTCACTCCATCCAAGATACAATCCTACTGGTCAGTGCCACCCACATCCAGGGTGGGTCTTCTCTCTTAGCAAGTCTGTCAGCCAGACACACCCAGAACTGTGCTAAACCAATCTGCTAGGCATTTCTTACTCAAGTTGACACCACAATTAACTTTCACCAGAAGGCTTCCATGCAGATCTCAAAAGAAGGCCTAGGAGGCCATGAAGGAGACCCTGAGAGAACAATGCTTGAAGTTTTGGGAATGAAGTCCAAGGTGCAGTGGAAACCCCAGGAAGTCAGAGATGCTAGAGGTATAGAACATCTACTGAAGAAAGCCTCAGGCCATGAGTGGAGCTAGCCCAGGAGACAGGCCATGTGGGCTGCAACCAGCAAGGCCATATTAGTAGAGCTGCCCAAGTTCTCTGGAACTCACATTTTACCACTGTGTGCCCTAAATGCCAGATATGGAGCTACAGGAGTTAATATTTGGTATGTTAGGTTTCAATTTTTTTTGGTCTAATTCTTTTCTATCCACTTATTCCTCTCTTTTGGAATGGGAATGTTTACCATGCACCATTGATTGTATGTTGGAAATGTTCAACTTTCCTTTTTTATTTTTACAGGAGCTTGCAACTAAGAATTTGCCTTGAGTCTCAGAGGAGACTTTGAACTTGGACTTCTCAGCAACGCTAGATGGACTAAATACATTTTATATGAGATGGACATGAGCCTTTGGCAGGACCAACATGGAAAGTTATGGTTTAGATTTAGAATATCCCCCAAAAGACTCATGTGTTCAGAGATGGGGCTGTTTGAATGTGATTGGATCACTACTCAATGGTGGACTGATCCACTGATGAGTTCATAGATAAATGTGCTGTTAGGAGGAGGAGAGTCACTGGGGTTGTGCCTTTGGAGGTTATATCTCCCTCCCAGAATCCTCTCTTCTCTCTCTGCTTTCTGCCTGCCATGGGTTAAGAAGCTTTTCTCCACCATGCCCTTCAGTCATGTTTCTGTGTTGGAGCTAGCCAACCATGGACTTCACCCTCTTATACATGAGCTAAAATAAACTTTTTCTGCGTTATGTTGTGAGTGTTGGAAAGCTGACTTACGTGTCACGTAAGATAGATAAAGGGATATCTTAACTGTTTGAGACCAGCTCTAGGAGGGGGTATGTGCACTGCATAGAGCTCCTCCCGAGCTGAGGTCAGTGACTTCACACCCAGAAATATAACCTCATGGAATTGGCGTGACAGCCTTGACTTGACATGTGTCTAATGGCTTGATAAATCAAGGAGGGTTGGGAGGGGGGTTGCTCAGTGGAAGAGTTTTTCTAGGCTTGTGTGAGGCCCTGGGTTCCATCCCCAACACTGTTTGCCTCTCCTCAAAAGGGAACAGAGAAAGTGATAGTTATATAAGAATCAATGTCGGGGGAAAAAAAGAAAGAGAAAGAAAGGGAGAGAGAGAGAGAGAGAAAGAAAGAAAGAACGAAAGAAAGCAAGAAAGAAAGAAAGAAAGAAAGTCAGGAAGTGAAATTTAAGCTGGGCACAGTGGTGCATGTCTGTAATCCCAGCACTGTGGGAAGCTGAGCCAGAGGGATGACAAGTTTGAGCTCAGGCTGGACAATTTAAGGATTAGCTAGATGCTGTCTAAAATAAAAAATAAAAAGGGGTGGGGTGACCAAGGGGCAGGCCCTGGGTTCAGTCTTCAGGGCCAAAAAAAAAAAAAAAAAAAAAAGTTCACAACTCCAGCCTCAGTCTTTTTAAGATCCATTTGTGGTTCTGGAACTTTCCTAGGCAGTACTGAGGACCCAACTCAGCCTCACACATGCAAAGCTGTTGTCTGCTACTGACCACCTCTCCAGCCCTACCAGTCAGCTCTAGATTCATAAAAGTCAAGGATGTGCTCCGAGCTTCATGGACACATAAGAGATTTTAGTGAATATCTTGAAAGATTATGCAAAACTTTGTGTGTGGTGTGTTTGTGTGTGTTCATAAACAAAACTGTCAGTTAGTCCAATAAGTTTACACACCATACAGATGGAAGAATTATTTTTCTAAACTATGCTGGATACTAGTTTTGTAAATAAGATTAGCTAAAGCCAGGTATGGTGACGCATGCCTATAATCATAGCATTTGGGAGGCTGAGACAAGAGGATCACCATGAGTGCAAGTTTCGACAGGGAACTTTGTCCCTGGACTACATAACAAACAAATAATAAATAAATAAATAAATAAATAAGATTAAGGCCAGGATTTAGCTCAGTGACACCATGTCTGCCTTGAAAGCACAAGGTCCTGAGTTTGATCCCCGGTACCAAAAAAAAAGATTAGTTGATATTTAAGATCACGAAAAATATCAGGCGTAAATCCTAGCCTCACTATCTACTCTTTAGCTATCAGGTTTGGGCAGGTTACTTGTGTCTCATTCTGTTTTTTTATCTCTAAACTGTGCTAGGTGATGTTTACATTAGTATTTCTGTAGATTGGAAGTGTTGAGAAGATATGAAATGCGACACAGAAGTGTTCGGTGAGTTAGGATCAGTTTTCACATATGCGTACTTTAAGATTGTTTGCACTTTGTGAAGTCAGCAGAGTGTATTTTTATTTTATTTTATTTTTGTACTGGGGATCGAACTCGGGAACTTGCGCTTGCGAGGCAGGTGGCAGAACTACTGAGCTAAATCCCCAGCCCTAAGAGTGTATTTTCAAATGGTCCTAATCCAGAGATTTCTGGTTTCAATTCAGAAGTTTCATGTTCATAACAGATCCCGAGCACTCAGTAAGTGTCAGTGTCAGAGAAACTGCAGTTTTGGGGAAAAAGAAAAAACGTACATGGAATAACGAGGGGTTGGAGAAATGACAGTTCCAAGCAGGGCATTTTGTGAGTGAAGATGATTTCAGATCTAAGATGTACACTTCACTTGCCAAGGCCCTGCTGGAATTTGAACCCAGAATCTCCTGTTTACGAGACAGGCACTTTAGCCAACTAAGCCACAGAGCCAGACCATTTCTCTTATCCCTTTGTCATTAAGTTGATTCCAATGAGGAGAAAGCTGAGTTGCCCTTTGGGATTATGGTGCGGGGTCTCTCCCAAGAGATGATTGCAGTAAAGGCAAAGTCACACCCTTCACGCCTAACGAAACACAAATCGTCACTGGGAAGAGCGTGTCCGGGGGAAGGGGAGGGGCCAGGCCCAGGATGCTCAGGTGTGAGAGGCTTTGCTGCCCTGAGGTCAGTGAGCTTCTGGCAGATCAGTGGGGCTCGCAGTTGCTGGAAGGCAGCACACTTGAGTGCTGAACAATAGAACCCAACACCTTGGGGCTCTGCAAGCTGCCCAAGGAGGGGATGGCAGGAGGAGGAGCTGCTGTCCCTTCGGGAAGAGGCTGGACGCTGCTGTTGTCCTTGAGGTTGGCGGATACCAGACGGCGATGCTGAGTCAGAGTCCTATGAAAGGGTCTAGGGTTTCCTACAGCCCAGGTGCACTCTTCCTGTACACTCCCTCTCTAGATGACTGATAATACCTACTACAGTGTCACTGCTGGGCACTGTATTGTTTAGGGGATAGTGACAAGGGGTCAGTACAGGAGAAGTTTGTTTTTAATGAATATTTTCAATCTGGGGTAGGTTGAATCTGCAGATGTAGGATGAGATACACAGCACCTACTGTAAACATTAACTGAAAAATTCCCTAATTAGGCTGTGAGGGACTGAGTCCTAGTTTCCCTTCCTTAGACGGAAGCCTGTGCTGAAGGGGGCAGCCATCGATGTGCTCCGAAGCTCCGGCTCCTCCTGGGAAAGAAGGTCAGAACTTGGACCCTCGCTTCAGCAGGCAGAGGCTAACAGGGCCCTGGCCTCCTGAGGTTCTTTAATTAATTTCTTTGTGTCAGGAATCAAACCCAGAGCCTTGCACATGCCAGGTGAGTGCTTTGCCAGTGAGCTACACACCCAGGCCTACTGAAGCTGCCGAGTCCCACAGTCTTTACTAATTTCTCTGAAACCAAATGTTTAAGGCATTTCCAGTTTTCTATCCCATTCAGAATGTTTTTACAGTGAATATAACTTACTTTTCTGTGACCCAGCAGGGTAACATCATCCATCATCGTTGTCATCATCCAGTAGGGATGGAGCCAGCACCTCGTGCATGCTAAGCACACTGCCCTGAGCCACGCCCTGGCTCAGAATGGAACTGTTTTGATTTAATCCAGGTTATATGAACAGGCTTCGATGAGTAGGGCTATGTCGCTACTTCACCGATGAACCTTTCTGAATGTTAATCAGCTGAGTTTATTATTACCAGGATACACGAATTTCAGCCACGTGAGCACAGTGGAGGAAATATTTGCAGTGAAATAGTATTCAGTTGTTGCCCAAGTAAGTGGCATTGTTGAGTACCCAGCATGTGGCAGGCATTGAAATCAGTTGTGGCCACAGCTGGACGTGATAGCCACAGATGACAATCAATAGGAAATGTCAGCAAATTGTATACTGTCATAAGAGAAGAGCAAGGTGCCGCTGAGTACATAGCAGGGTGTTCTCCAGCTCAGTATATACTGCAGCACTGCCTTAGATACACTTTTATATCGCCCAATTAAACTGATTCCTTAATTTATTTGAGTCCTGCTGAAAAGGAGGTGTCCTAGCCACTTTCTAGTCTCTGAGACACAATACTCGGACCCCTGGAACGTAAAGGAGAGAGATTCATTTTGGCTCCCGTTTCGGAAGTTTCAGTTCCTGCATTGTTGCCAACTTCAAGGCAGGAAGAGCCTGGCAGAGGGGCCTGGGTGGAGGGCAGATGCTCACCTCAGGGTTGCCCGGAAGCTGGAAAGGGAGGAGGCAGGAGGAGACTCAACCCTTCCGGCTCACTCCCCGCCCCGTGGCCCGCCTCTGCTGGCCCCACCTCCTGGCAGCAAGGTGGCTCCACCTGCCCGACTGGATCGCCTTCCAAAAGCTGATGGTCTACAAGCGCACGAGGCCTTGGGAGACATTTTCCGTCTCAAGCAGCAGTGGTGAACAGACGGCACACGTGCTGCAGTGTACTGTTTGTATCACTGAAAGCTCTAAAAGGTTCGCCATCACTGAGGGACCCAACGTATATTTCTTTTTTTTTTTTTTTTGGTACCGGGGATCGAACTTGAGACCTTGCACTTGCAAGGTAGGCAGCAGAACCACTGAGCTAAATCTCCGGCCCTCAACATATATTTCGTTGGTAATTCACAATTAGTTCCTGACTCTATTTGGACTACTCTCAATATTGTCATATTTAACCAAAATAAAGACTATTTGCTAAGGTGGAGTGAAATAAATGTGACCAAGTCCTCAAACCCGGAAGACCAGCAGACATGTGAAATACAATCATCATGAGATGATGAAGGGGTGGAACCAGTGGATCAATACCTAATACAGTGCTCGTGGAAAGGTATTTACGCTTCAGAAAGTAAATGTGGCCAGGAGTGATGGCACACACCTGTCATCCCAGCACTCTGGAGGCTGAGGCAGGAGGATCGCTGTGAGTTCCAAGTCAGCCTGGGCTACACAGTGAGACTCTTGTCTCAAAAAAGAAAAAAGAAAAGCTTGACTGAGTGAAATCCTGTGAGAGCCCAGGCCAATTCTATGCAAAAGTGCTAACCTGTGTTCACTTCCCTCCAACCCAGGCTGGCCCCCAACACGAAGGCATCCTCCTGCCTCAGCCTCACAAGCGCTGGGATTGCTGCTGTGCGCCACCATGGCAGCCCCTTTGCTCTTCTTAATATTCTTTTTGCAGATTTAAAAAACCTATAGGAATTGAGGTCTAGTGTTACCTGATTAAAAGTGTAACAGCAAACGGGAAATACCGACAGGCACCAAGGACTTAGAGGCAGAAAGCACACTTTATTTACGTTGATGGGCCTGGTCGGAATAATTCCTCAAAGAACCAGGCAGCTGTCTTTTGTCCACCTAGTGTTTATATAGGGTTTGCAAGCAAGAACTAGTACAGAAGCAGAGCAAGCAGTTGATTGGTTAATATGATATCATTACTACTGATTGGTCTATAACTCAGGTTAGAAAGCGTAAATTTAGGGTAAGGTCGGCTAGATAAGGGAGAAGCCTCAGTTTAGGGCAGGGTCGGCCAAGGAGGGATTTGCACCCTGGACTGGGCCCCACCCGTCAGGTAAAAGGCCGAAGACCAAGACCAGACCAGGCCACAACAAGCCTTTATTAGGGGAATAGATCTGCTGAGCTGTCTCTAAACAAAGGAGAGACAAAAGCAATATGGCCGGGGCAGGGAGAGTCTTTTATAGACTGGGGTGGGGTTTGTAGGGGCTGAGGTGGGGTTGAGTGAGGTAGTGACTAGGGAATGGAGGAGCCGGTGATGTCACTAGGTGGTAGGAGGTGAGTGAGTATTAGGTTACTCTCTAGGTGGGACCAGGGGCATGCTGGGAAGAAGGGTTTGTTCTTTGGTGGGAGCAGCCATCTTGGCATGATGTCACACAGGGGAGGGGGCAAGGCACGATGGGAAGAGGGCAGCTACTGTACATAATAGCTGCTGGGGTAGTGGGAGACCTGTCACCACCTGTATTATCCTCCTGCCCCAGCAGCAGCAGCTCGCAGTGGCCCTGGCGGACAGAGGCAGAGTTAGAGACCTGGTGCCAGCCCCATTGCAGCAAGGCTTCTCGAGGCACTGGATGGCCAGAGACTGGGGCTGTATCAGAAATGCATCATAGCGAGCACGTCATGTCCACATGGGTTCCAGCCCTGGGCAGACAGGGAGTCTTGACGGCAGGTATCGAGGTCTGCCCTCGGCAGCACTAACAGGTTAGCAAGAAAATATGTGCTTACAATAATCATTCACTGCAGATCACAGAACTTTGGAGTTATTGACTCCAATTTCAGAGTAACCCATACCACACTTTTCCTTTTCCAAATAACCATGTCGTGAAATATTGTTTAAAAATTTTTACTTTCTTATCAAGGACCCAGAGTCATGTGATAAAACCCTGAAACTAGCGCTCCCTTTGGAACACGTAGCACACACTGTCAAGAATCAGTTCCCTTTTCCGTGGTGGAAATTTGTGTTTCAGGACACCATTGCCTTCCCTAGCTTTAAGAGGAGACAGCAGGGTTTCAGCGTGGGCAGGTGAGCAGGGTGGGTGCAGGCCTCTCCCAGAATGGAGGCCCTGAATTCACTCCACCCACTTTCTTCCCAGTAACCAGCTGTGCAAATCGGAGTCTCCGGAGGGGCCGTTCTGAGCATGAGCCTGAGATCAGGATAAGAAAAGGTTAGAAGCCTCTCTTTCCTCACAGAAGCGTTTGTGAGGACACTGAGTCCCCTCCCTACGCCGCGGCGTGGCTGCATCGGGCTGTCCGCGTGGCCAGCGGTGTCTAACAAGCCGGCCACGGAGAAAGGAAGAGCCTGCCCACCTCCCAGCACCTTCTGGGCCCGGGGTTCCAGCCTCCGGCGCCCGTTCAGGTCACCTGTGAAGCTCTTAAAAGCGCCAGCACCCAGGCTGCCTCTGGGACGGCTGGGGTATCTCCGCTGGGCCCGGCGTCAGGGACGGGAGAGCCAAACATTGCCTGGCAGGGACTGGGCCTGTCTCCATGCCTCTCCGAACCCCTGCCAGGCACAGTGCACACTTCACCTGCAAGACGAAGCAAAGGGGACGTTTCCTGAACTGTGGGTAAATTTCAAAATGAGTCAGGTGCTTTGGCACAGAAATCTCAAAACATAATCTTGGACCAAGTTGATCTGATCAGGCGATGGCCCTACAGTGGGCCCCGAGGAGGAGTAGTGGGGACTCTGCCCTAAGAAGGGTGAGCTTCAGGCGTTTACAGCTAAATGGATGCACCCTGAGATCATACTCTTCAGCTAAATAAATCGGACACACACGTTTAAATACTGCACTGGGTCTGTGGTGAGAAATTGAAAGGGTAAATGAGAGCCAAAATGTATAATAGATGTTGGGAAATGGGAGGAAAGTCTTCAAATGAGAAGGGGAACAAAGGAGGGGAAGGGGAAAGGAAGGAAGGGACAAGAGAAAAGGAGAACAGAAGGACAAATGGAAACAAAGCTTTTGTAAATAAAGAGGCGAAGAGGGCTGCAAATGAAGGGAGGGGAATGGGGAAAAAGAAGCAAGATCTATCATGATTCCCTACGGTGAACATGATCATTATGACTAGTCTTTCTTTTCTCTTGTACCAGGAATCCAACTCAGGACCTTGCACTTGCCAGGCAGGCACGGTGCCACTGAGCTAAATCCCCAGCCTTCATGTACATCTAAAATGTACCAATAAATGTTTTGCTTAAAAAAGAAAATTATTATTATTATTATTATTTTTGTACCAGGGATCAAACTCAGGACCTTGTGCTTCTGAGGCAGGCAGTGGCCCCACTGAGCTAAATCTGGGCCCTGAACAAATATTATTAAGCATCAAAAAATTTTTCAATTCTCTCAGTTATTTTGGGGATAAGTATAATATTGACACCAAAACCTAACAGAGACAATACGAGAAAGGAATATTGTACAGCCATTTCACCAATAGAGGCAAAATCATAAAAACAACCAAACAAAAATAAAAACATTAAAAAATATGTCACTATGGAACAGGGTGCTATGAACTGTGTATTTGCGGACCCACACCCCAATTCCCGTGCTAAAATCCTACCTGCCGTGCAATGGCTTCCGGAGTTCAGGACAAATCCTGAGGGCGGAGCCTGGTCACAGGAACCAGCACCTGGCAAGGAACGGAAGTGAGTCAGCCTCTGTCCTGGGGTTCCTCTGTTGGGAACCAGGAGGGAGCCCCTCACCAGAAACGCAACCGGGCCACGCTGGCCTCGCTGTCACACTTGCAGCTTCTGGAACCATTAAAAATAAGTGTTCGCTGTTCATCCATCAATCCTTCGTGTCATGTTATAGCAATCTGAATTGACTAAAACATGGAACTTATTAAGGGGATACACGTATGAATTAATGTTATAAAATGCATTAATCTTATTCAAGACATGGGAGATTAAAAGAAAAAAAGTATGATGATCTCAAGATTTTCAGGCATTTTCCTTATTGCTAAGAGGAAAATGGAGGTAAAAGTGCTAAACATCTTTTCCAGCTCTGACATTCACATAATTAACCATGGACCACTTTGGATCCTAGAACGTATTTGGAAAATGAGGAGTAAATTCTGTTTTTAACAGACTCTAACCCCGTAGCCCAGGCTGGCCGCAGCCTCCCCAGTGAGGGGGTTAGAGGCACGCACCACCTTAGAGGTCTCAGCTATTAACATATTCACAGGAAAAAAGTTTAAGCCATAGTCTGTCTTTTTCCATGATTCACTTTGAATTTTAAAACTGGGCAGTCAGGGAAGCCCGCAGGGTGTCCGTGGGGCTCTCCCGCCGTCGGGCAGTCCCCACGGGTGTCCTGCACGGACGCCTGCGGAGTGGCGGCCCTGGAGGTTTCTCCCCGCGCGGCGCCGCACAGCTGGGTCCCTTGAGCCCACCTCTTGTGCGAGGCTCGGGCGGGAGAGTCGCCCGCCGCGCGACCCCGGGAGCGGGAGGGGCGGGGCGGGGCGGTGTCACGAAGGCAGAGAAATCGAGATGAGAAGCTACAGGGAACTGTGCAGGGGCAAGAAAGAACTGAAACGCGTACTAATTCTCGGCCAGAGAAAGGACCGAAATCTCTCATATTCTAGACCAAGGATTGCTTAGGCAAAAGATGCACTGGAGATGCCGGGGATCGAACCCGGGGCCTCATACATGCGAAGCATGCGCTCTACCACTGAGCTACATCCCCACCTTACAGTCTGAGCTCGGCCAGGCCTAAGTAGTTCGAAGTCCCCCTCCGACTCCCAGCCTCCCTTCTGCATAGGACGCTAGACCTGTTAATGTTGTGTTCAGGAATTTTGCATCTAAGTTTATGAGAGACATTGGTCTGTAGTTTTCTTTTCTTATAATGTCTTTGCTTGGGTATTAGGGTACTGCTGCCCCATACAATAGGTTAGAAAGTATTCCCTTTGCTTCTGCCTTCAGGTAGAAATTGTGGAAAATTGGTATAATTTTTTCCCAAAATACTAGAATTCACCAGTATACCTACCAGATACCATTTTCTGTTTTGAAGGACTGTTGATTATCGTTTCAATTTTTCAAAACGATATAGGACTTAACCCGGGTGTAGTGGTGGACCCCTGTAATCCCACCAAGCCAACTACGGGCGGCGGAGAACTCCGCCGGGGAGTTCTGAGGCAGGCCACTCTAGGCTCCTACTGAGTTCAAGGCCAGCCAGAACTACATAGCAAGGCCCTGTCTTTTTTTTTTTTTTTTGGTACTGGGGACCGAACTAGGGACCTTGTGCTTGGGAGGCAGGCGGCAGAACCTCTTAGCTAAATCCGCGGCCCAATGCCCTGTCTTAATTAAGTAAGAAAGAAAGAAAAAAAGAAAGACCGATAGATATTGACCTATACCGGTTGTCTATTTCTTGAATGCATCAATCAGTGTACTTTTTTCTTTCCCTTTTTATTGTAAAATATTTCAACATAATAGGCCAAAAAAGAATATTATAATGAATTACCATTATCCATTCTTTTTCATTATCAACTGATGGGGACTTAGTTACTTTTTCATCGCTGAAACACAATACCCAACACTCAAAACTCCAGGGAGGAGTTTACTTCGGCTCACAATGTGTGGAGTTCTCCGCCGCCCGTAGTTGGCTTGGTGGTGTGGCGTGGCGGAGGGCGTGGCGTGGCGGGGCGGGGGCGTGGCGCGGTGAGCCGGAAGCGGAAGTGGAGAGATCAAGCGGGGAGGAGGGAGAGAAACTCTTGCAGGGCGCCAAGTGACCTGCTTTCTCTGGCCCGGCTTCACCCCAACATCACGTCTAGGTAGAAACGCATCGTGGACGAATCCTCTGTTGACTATCATGCCCCATGATCCAGTCACCTCTCAGAAGCCCCCACGAGCTCGTGAGCTGCTGGGCGCATCTAGCTATAAACGTGTGGTGGGTAATTAAGCAATTGTCAACTTGAGTGGGAGCCCAGCTGATTTGAGTCGCAAATGCTGTCGGAAGGGGATAAAAGGAGAGCGGGAGGGAAGGATTTTGGCTGATTTTCCTTGGAAGAGCTGTTTTTCTTCCAAGGGCCTTCAGCCATTCTCTTCTGAGGAGCTTGGGCCTTGACCTTCGCCTTCGCCTTCGGAGTTGCCTCCTCTTTCCGGCGCAGATTCCTCAGCTGGGCTCCGGCCCTGCGCAGGCCTTCGGTCGTGCGCCGCGATTCCTCGCGCGGTACTGACTACAACAAAACCATAGAAGATGGTAATCTTCTTTATTCTTTTGAAAAAATTCTTCCTTGTAGCAAAACGTTTGCTGGTACATTGTAGGCATACATAATAACACTTATCACAGAGAATGTGCACCGGGGCAGGACACCTCTTGCCTCTTTTTCCCATCTCCCCTCTCCTCAAGGCCCCTCCCCTCCCTATGCACAAAAGCTTTGTTTCCATTCTTTCCTTCTATTTTCACTTTTTTCTTGTCCCATCCTTCCCTACTTCCTCGTTCCTCCCTTGTTCCCCTTCCCATTTGAACATTTTCTTCCCATTTCCCAATGTCTATTATACATCTCAGTGCTTATTTCCACTTTCAGTTTCTTACACCAGAGAAATGATGTGGTATTTAAACATGTGTGTCCAATTTACCTTACTCCAGGGTATGGTCTCAAGGTGCATCCATTTAGCTATAAATATCTGAAGCTCATTCTTCTTTATGGCAGAGTAGTATTGTAGTCAAAAAACACATCTTTATTCATTTGTCAGTTGATAGGCATCTGAGTTATTTCCAAGATTTAACTATTACAAACTGTGCTGCTATGAACATGAGTGTGCGTATATTCCGGTGGTATGATGCTTATAATTCAGGAAGATACCAAAAAGGTGAACTGGCTCAAATGGAACGTCTAGTTTTAGTTTTTTGAGAAATCTCCATACTGATTTCCACAGTGGTTGTACCAGCCTTCACTCCCACAACAGTGGAGAAGGGTTTCTTTTTCCCTCCAGCATTTATTATTGATTTCTTGATAGCAGCCATTCTTTCTGGAGTAAGGTGGAATCTCATGTTGTTTTGATTTACACTTCTTGAATGACCAGTGATGTTGAACATTTTTTCATATATTTACTTGCTGATTTGTTTTTTTTTTTTAGCAGCGGGGCTCAAACTCAGGACCATGCACTTTCGAGGCAAGCACGGTGCCACTGAGCTAAATCTCCGGCCCTTGCTGTTTTTACTGAGAAGTGTCTGTTCATTTCAGATGCCCATGTTTTGGATTGGGTCTTTAGATTTGGGGGTGGTCTGGGTTTTTTTGAGTTCTTTATATATTCTACATAGTAGTCCTTTGTCTGAGGAACAGCTGGGAAAAAAATCCCAACGCAACACTGTGTCTTTTTTTTTTTTTTTTTGGTACCAGGGATCGAACTGGGGTCCTTGCACTTTCGCAGCAGGCAGTGAAACCACTGAGCTAAATCCCCGGCCCAACACTGTGTCTCTTTACTCTATTGGTGATTTCTCTTGCTGTGCAAAAGGGTTTTAATAAATGAGGTCCCAGTTGTTGATTCTTTGTAGTATCTCCCATTCGGTCTGGGTTTGGTTCATGAAGTCTTTGCCTACTCCTAGTCTTTGTGTCCTCAAGCATTCCACCTAGTCTCTCTTCCAGCAGATTCAGTGTTTCTGTTTTAATATTTAGATCTTTGATCCATTTTGATTTTAGTTTAGTGCACGGTGAAAGATATGGGTCTGGTTTCAATGTTTGGTATGTGGAAAGCCAGTTTTTCCAGCACCGTTTATTAAAGAGGCTATGTTTCTTCCAGTGAAGGTTTGGCCCCTTTGTCTAAGATAAGGTGGCTGAGTGTGTTTGGAGTTGTCTCTGCATCCTCTAGAGTCTGTTCCATTGATCCTTGGTCTGGTTTTTTTTTTTTTTGGCCAGCACTGTGTTGTTTTTATCATCATAGCTTTGTAGTATAATTTCAGGTCAGGGATTGTGATGTCCCCTGCCTTCCCTTTGTGCAACTCTATTCTTAAAAGTGATTAAAAGGAGGCAGAAGATATGCATGTACCAACTCCCCATGATGAATGTAATCATTGTGTATTGCAAATATTTACTAATAAAAATAAAAAAATTTAAAAAGGAAACAGAAGAGTTCTATAGTTTTAGAGGCTGGATTGAAAAAGATGAGGTGATGTAGTCAGTAACAACTGAGAATTAATACATTGGTATCTATTTCCTACTTGGCCTTTGCATGAGCTTACTTTTATATGGGTTTTTGTTGCTTCTATATTGTTAGAACAAAAATGTAGTTTTGTCCTTACATTATTTCAATATATTTTTAAATTTTTTTATTTTTTTAAATAAATTTTATTTTATCCCACTCCCCTCTTCAAGCTCCATTATTTCAATATTGATGTCTCTTTTTCTTATATCATTTTTTCTTGTTGTGACTTTATCTGGACAATTTTTTCTTTTAAGTGAGAAGAGTTTTTTCTTTTAAGTAAGATGATTCTTTTAAGTAAGACTATGCTTTTGAATGCACATAATTTATCATAGTAAATTTTCCATCCTTGCTATTTTCCCAAGAACTTACATATAACAATAGGAATGAGTGTCAGTTTTAAGGAGTGATTTTTAGCATTAATGATCATGTATAAAATTAGACAGTATGGTCTCTAAAATAAGAGAAGCTGATTTCA